AACAGAGAGTTCACCTCTGTTGAGCCTTTTGTTGGGTGTACAAAAACACATAAAACGGAGATATTGTGAAACCGTTAATGATGTGCCACAGTGGAGTTGTGTAAGTGTGAACATAATGAACTTTAGGTTATATTTATTTTTAATGCCCAACATTTTTAGCGAAAATAAAGGACTTGATGTGCAGAGGCCTTCAGTCATGTGAATCTACATCTCAACTTTTTTTTCCCCTGCTGTTTGTCTTCCTCTTTTGTCAAACATTATTGAGGCTGCAGTTGAAATGACAAATTTAATAGCATTTTAGGTGCAAATCCAGGAGGCTCATCTAGCAGAGACATTAGGGATTATCCCAAATGACCAAAACTGTGTTGTGAGCTGTTATCTGTGCTCATTAAAACACCCTCACCACCTCATCTGGTGCAGAGGTGCTACATTTGGGAAAAAGTCAGACTGAATAAATTGCCAGTTGTGTTAAATGAATGCCTGTGCGATTCCTCAAGTGCAGCAGTTTCTGTGGTACAAGTGTTTTAATTACATGCATTCATATTCTCATATTATACAGATAGATGCAGCGGTGATATCATAAATCATATCGCTGCTGTACCTTGGAAAGGAAGCTGAAAGCACCAGGGAGTGTGTGAGCTGTGCGGTGGTTGATGTGTATTCAATGATGGGGCCATATCAGGCAGGAATAGACAGGCTTATTAGAGTTAAGTGCTTTCTGTCATATTATGCTGCATACACTTAGCAAGTCAAACCCCGCTTGAAGTCTGTTAAATTGCTGCTGTAATCATCTCTGTGGAGGTCAATCATGCAATCCATCAGGCTTACCAACGTTTAAATCTTGTGCAGCACAGTCAACATTACAGCAGATTACAGCGCACCCGTAAAGCTACCCATAAAACACTTTCATGCACTTTGAGACTTGAGAATAATGGTTTGTGCTTGAGCTTTCTCTATATTACTGCATGAACATATAATATAGAATAATAACAATAGTAATTTGTTGAAGGTATCAACAGGTTGTTGAGTACAGTGGCTACATTTTTGTCCCTGTAGATTATGGTACTAAACTAGTTCATTTAATCATTTATTGACATTACCTCTGGATAGATTCAGAAACCTGCTGTGTAAACCATTGTTATAACAGTCCACTGGAGAACAATGAGTCTTCCTCAGTATACAAACTGTACTTTCATTCAAAAATAGTAGTAGTTTCTGCTGTTTTGGCTTGTGTAAGTTTGTTTCAGTTGCTGCTGTTTGGTATACTGTATGACCTCATTTGAATGAGCTCTGTACACTTTGTTGTAAAAAAATATATAGTTTATCATCATACCAGTATGTGTTTGTTTATTGGCAAGAATCTTGCCTGTCAATCGACCAATCAATTAATCGACTAGTAGTTTCAGTACACATACTTTTACAAAGCAGGCTGGGACATAGGAACTTGTGGACCTCTCATAGGACCCTTAGTAAACCTCACACTTTTTGTCCATCAGTCAGCAAACAAAACACACTGACAGCCAGGACTGTTGTGTTACAGTCAGCATGGTTCATAACCCAGGGGTTGAGGAGTTGATTGGGTTCCTGCCCAGCTTTGTTGAAGCTGCTCGACTTTACAGAGCGATGCTGACGAGGCCCTGAGTTCTGCTTTCTGTCACCCCCTATTATTCCATACACCATTCATAAACAGTCACTTTGTCAACCTGTTGTGATTCAAGGGGACACCATATAATGTAGATGTTGAATATATGTATGCTGATAGAATGAATGACCTTCTGTGTTAAAAGGAGTTTTAGACTTAGATGTCCATATGCAGGCACAGTTCAGCCTCCATAAAATGTTATCTTGGAAAAATGGACTTCAGCCTCTGTTTTCATATTTATGCCGTAGTATTTATCTAAAGCTGAAATAATAATACTTAATGGAATGATTACTTGATCAATATAAGAAACTATACTAATAAACGACCTGATTATGATCTAAGTCCTTTGGCATAGTGTAAAACAAGATACGCATTGGTTCCAGGTTCTCAATTGTGATTATTTTGTGTTGGATTTTCTTCTTTTTCTTCTCTAACTTAAACAAAAAGTAAGAGCTCTTGAACACATAACCTTAGGCTTTCTATTCCGAACATTGTTAGACCAAACAATTATCTGATTAACTGCTGTGTTTGAGTTTGTCTGCATATCTGGGCTGGCTGCAGTTGGGTGCTCTAAGTTTTGTTACTATAATTCACAAATGAATCATTTTTATTTAATTTTATTTCATACAAAAGACAGTCTGATTTAATGGCTTTTTTATTTAAGGTCTCAGCAGTGATAAAGAGAAAATATTACAGGTTAAGAACAGCTCTTATTTTATTGAATGTGTTAATGCTTTTATAAACCCAAGGGGAGTGTGTTACTTCACTGCTTTTATATGAACTCGAGTCTTAAGTGTTTTTTTACAAGGAAAAATTCAACTGAATTAGAGAAAACCGAGTCAATATTAAGTGAGTCCAGAGTGACACTACAGAGGGCAGACAATCCACTGACAGAGAGGGCGACGGACAGCTACAGCAGCAGGAATATTGACAGATTGATTGACAGAAAGTGCCAGCGAGCAGTTGGAAAAACATGACAGATAAAGTTCCAAACAGCATCTGCGTTCAGATTTGATTTAGAGGTGACTGAATGCAAACACATGTGGTAAACACAGTCAGACATCTTCTTTATAGCAGCAGCAGCAGCTTTTGTATGACATTGCAGATTTTGTGCTACCAGTCCTGCCAGAAGCTTTGGATTTTGGCAGCAAGTGAACTCTTAAAGAACTTCATTAGGCAGAAAACCTGCAGAGGCCTCGGCCAGCTAAATGTTATTTTTTCTGTGTTTGCTGGAGGTGGTGAAGTGAGTCAACTTGTCAGCTGGTTTGGACTGAGTACTGTCTCACTGCTGTTGCCGTTTTTCTTGCTGTTTCGAGTTTCCATTTCTCACTTCCTTGCACTGAGCAGATTTCCCTTGAGCATCAATACATGGAACTATAATTTAATTTGAACAAAGAGGGTGTATCTTGCATTATCTCAGGGTGGAAGGTTTTATCACTTAGGCTCATAACACAGTTGCTTTCCTGCAAAAGATTGCTTGCTAGTGCAGCATTAATGAGGGTATACTTTCTGTGGCACCATAATGTATCACCCAGCAAGACACACCAACAAGCCAACTCAGTGAGAGTGCTGACGGACAGAAATAGAAATACAGACGGAGCTAATGTCTCTCCAGACTACCATGACAGGTGGTTATATACGTCTCAATTACATCCCACTAATTCAGAACACCATCGATATGTGGAGGATTGTTGTAGAGGGAGGTAGAAGGTCACCTGGCTGCATTTGTGTTTGCATATTACCTTCCACTTGCATATGAATGCAGTATTCCTACAATAACATAAAAGCCACTTGATACACTTTGTACACCTGCTTTGTATTTGATATGCAAATGCAGGTGTTTCCACACTGAATTGACTGGTCGTCCGCTGCAGTGCTGTTGAATGACAGTGCTCACAGCTCCACTAGAGACGGAGGAGATGATGGAAGCTGTCTCAGTCTGATCTATGGTGTTTAAATTGGCTGTGACAGAGGTCTCCCGACCATGCTTTGTTTATTCAGCAGGGCTTATTGTCATTTTCTGTGACCAATCTGTTCATCATCACATAGTAGGAAAACTGTAACTGGAATGGATATAAATCCCTGCTCTATTATTACAATTGTTAGTGTCAAGGTGGGAAAGAAGTTCAAGTCAAGAATTTAGTTTTTAAATGTTTCTTTGTATAATTCACATGGTGGACCTCAACTTCACTCAAGCACTTGGTTGGGGTTAAGTGCCTCGCTCAAATGAATTTCATGGCCATTCAGTTTGTCAGGTGCCAAAAGATACAACAATAAATAATTTTCAGACCGCTTCAGCTGTCTTGTAGCATTGATTGTTAATAACTGGCAAGTACTGAAAAGTGGTCTAAAACATTTAGTTTTGCAGTTACAGTGTTACTTGCTATAGGCAGTACATGATTGGTGAATGAATTACGTTTTTTTTTTATTGTGTCATAAATACAGCTATACCCAGCTTATACAAGCTTAACTTACCTACTAGTTGGTATAAGTCAGATCCAGAATGCTGTGTATACAAACATATAACATTGTCTACAGCAAATGAATCAGTAACAAAACCTGCATTGTATATTTAGAACAATGGATAAATCAGAATACATACTAGATAAATATTCCGTCTTGCCTTCTCTCCAGGCTTTTGAGACAAAGTTAGCCAACATCAAAATTAAATAACCATTCCAATTTTCCATCATCTGTACAGAATATTTCAGAGATTCATCAAACTATGTGATGGAAAATGTACACTCTTAAACCTTCAAAGTATGTACAGTACAAAAGACAGTGGGATTCCCAAATCACACAACTCACACAATTTGTTTATCTCCTAAAACATTTATATATCTGTCAACCTCAGTGGTCAGTGGAAATATACCAGTTCTCAACTGTGCGACTTAAAATTGTTGGCTTCTAGATTGAGTTGTAACATATGATTCAGGGCCATAGCTAGTCTTTCTTACTTACTCGTACTTACTCTTTGGTTAGAACAAAGTTCTTGTATGTCTGTTTGTATCGAGATGTAAAGAGTTTTTACTGTTTTGTCATTGGGAAAAACATTTCTTGTAGAAAACTCAATTCAGTTTATTTGTATAGCACCAAATCATACCCAACAATGTGGTATAAGTGGTATAAATGGTATAGGTGACTGTAAGATTGCATACATCTGACTGGAGGGACGTAAAGATGCTATTACATTACAGTAGGCCAAAATATATATTTTTTTTTCTTTCTGGTACTGTCCTTTATAATCCTCCTTCAAAGTCCTTCAAATATTTGAACAGTGTGCCTATCTGTAACAATGTCACTGTCTACCTTAATCCTCCAAAATATTAATACATCCCTGTGTGTCTTCTCTCCACAGTATGAGTTCAAGGTGAAAAACATCAAGAAGAAAAAAGTCAACATTGTGGTGTCTGTCGACGGCGTGAAAGTCAATTTGAGGAAAAAGAAAAAAGTGAGTTACTCCTTTCTTTTATCTGAGCTCTTATTTCTGACGTGGAAAACAAGGAATTGATTAGAACTGATTTTACTGATCACTTTTAAAGCACATCTGGGACTGGCCCCAAGCTATGTAGCAGCATTGTTGACCCCCCATATACGCAGTCTTAGATCCTCAGGTACTGGCTGTTCCAAAGTTGAGGCTTAAATCTGAAGGTGACTGTGCTTTTACCACCAGGGCCCCTCGGCTTTGGAATGACCTGCCTGGGGAGATAAGGCTCGCACAATCAGTCACTTCTTAAAACCCATTTTCATAGACTTGCTTTATGTGATGTAGTTTTGTATTTTATTTTATTGCTTCTATTGCTTTTATTCTCTCTTCTTGTTTTTGCTTCATCTATAAAATCACTAAACTGTCTTTAAAAGTGCTATATAAATAAAGTTATTATTGTTGTTATTATTCTTACTACAGTATGGTAAACTGCCAAGAAGACAAATCTGGTTACTTTTGTAGTAACAGTACCAACAGGACCTGTAGGCTACAATGTCTTTCTATTAAGCTTTGATTGGCTCTCATTATAATTATAACAACGTAAGTCTCTTGTAACATCTTAAACTGCTCCTTATTCTATAGGTTAATATGTTGTTATAATGAGAGAAGTTTATTTTTAAACTTAAATCTCGTTACTATGAGAAACTATGTTGATTTATTGTCTTTATTGGAGATGACAATGTGCTGCTGTGTAGCAAATAGCAAATAGCAAACAGAGACATTAAGTTGGTATAACTGGGTGATACATTCAATTAATTTTATTAATTAAGATTCTTGTGCATGCACATTGCATGAAATCTCTACATCATAGAAATGTGTGTTTACAACATGTAAAAAAATGATTTATGGTTATTTTCATCCAGGAAGTAAAGACTGAGACTTAAATGGACTCTGCTCACTGATCTAAGGTTTAGGTTTGTGTTTGTTGATGAGATATTATCTTTAATTTGAAGACATTAAGCCACTGTAGTCTGGTGGACATTTTATGGTATTGTATTCTACTTTGTTTGGTCTGTCCTTTACATGTGGCTCATCAGCTGCCTGCAGAATGATGTCAAGAGGCACAGAGAGCAGCAGCAGATGAATTAGTGAGCTGGCTTTCAGTTTCCGCTCTGTGTGAGCTGGAATTGTTATGCTATATTTCCATACTCTTCTTAATTGAAGGTTCTGTCAGCAGTCGGACACATATCGAAAATATGTGTAACGCTGACAGCCCTGCAACTTGTGCAATACTTGTTCGATGTTTTGCTCATGTAGCACTGAAAATATGGTGTTTCAATCATGCTGTAGTATATAACTATCAGCCAGCCAAAACACTGTTGTGCTAGAAGTTGGGTCAGTCACTTTAAAGAACCAGACCAGATCCATTTCCTGCTTCCTGTGTGTGGCAGGAGGTGGTGATCGATCCTCGTCCTAATTAGATAGTTGATAGAGGTGAGAAAGGAGACATTGCGAGGGAGGACAAAGGGCCTGAGAGGAATCGAAAGTACAGGCGAAGATGGGACAAGATGTTGAAGAGTAAAGAGATGGGATGAAAAGGGAGGATGGAGTTAAAAGATGAGAAAGGAGCGAAGAATAAACTTGAAGAAACTGGAGGGGGGGCGGGGGAGTGTGGGGGGCGGGGTGGAATCTGCGGTGAGGCTGAC